CTGATACCACTCTATAAAGCCTTAGTAAGGCCACACCTAGAGTCCTGCATCCAGTTTTGGTCACCACACTATAAAAAAGAGATGGAGACTCTAGAAAAAGTGCAGAGAAGATGATGAGGTGACTGGAGGCTAAAACATACGATGAACGGTTGCCCAGGAACTGGGCCTGGCTAATCTAGTGAAGAGAAGAGAAGGACCAGGGGAGACAGGATAACATCTTCCAATATTTGAGGGGCTGTCACAGAGAGGATGAAGAGGTCAAGCTATTCTCCAAAGCACCCGAAGGCCAGACAAAGAACAATGGATGGAAACTGATCAACGAGAGATTTAACCTGGAAATGAGGAATTTCCTGACAGTGAGAACAATCAACCAATGGAGCAGAAGTTGCCTTCAGAAGTTGTGATTAAGGTTCATCACTGGAGGCTTTCAAGAAGAGACTGGACTGTCCTCTGTCAGAAATGGTGTAGGGTCTCCTGCTTGGGTGGGGGGTTGGACTAGAAGGTCTCCAAGGTCCCTTCCAACTCTGTTATTCTGTTATAATCAGGTAATACAACATCTGCATGGAAACCACCAAGCTCAGAGGGTACCGTTTATCCTATTTGTTGACTTCTGTATTGGCCAACCCAACTCTGTTGCAAACAGCCCCTCTTCATTTCAGGATTTCCTGCTTTTCCCTTCCTTTTCCTGATGGGAGGTTGAATTTCAAAATCCAGCTGCTTAATAAATTCGTGCAAGAAGACCAGGCTGATTTGAGCTTCCTGTTTCTTCAGCCGAAGCGATCTTCCCCATCCAGGTAAGACCAACCTGTGCTCAGGGGATTTATCAAAGAAGCATCAAAGAAACGTTCCAGATCCATCAGGTAAGTTCAAAATTTGCCAGAAAGGAGAATGGGGGTCCATTGTTGGGGTGCAGATGGAAAACCCAGGAACTAGCGTGGATTCTGCAACGCACAATACTTAAAGTGTGTCTTTTTTATTTACAGTAGTAGAAAAATTGAGACATTTGTTCAATGGGGGTTGTAGGCTGCATTCTCACAACATGCTCAACCCAAGAGCCAAAGATCACTTTAAGCCCAGCATTCATAAGTCTTTTTAGAGTTCACTAGTATGTCATATAAAATTAACCTCTAATAAAGCACATAGAATAATTCTTTTTTATTGGAAGGGACTCTGGGGATCTTCTAGTCCAGCCCTCTGCTCAGACGACCCTATAACATTCTGGGTTTACTTTAAGACTTTACTTGCTTCCCAAACCAGTCTTAACTCAGTGCCTTACCTAAATAATGTCCCCCAAAAAATCTTTTCATTGCCTTTTTTTTTTATTGAAAAGTTTTACAAAAAAAAGAATTCCCCCCCCCAATATCCCCCCACCCTTTCCCTCCCCTCCCCCCCAGACTTCCCAGAGCAAAATACAGGGTATTTCAATTAACAATCATAAGCTAAATTAACCTATCTATCCTCAGACTACTAAATCCCCCCCTGAAACCTTAACTCCACTATAGATAACATAATACTTCTAATACTTAACGTTCATTCATAAGCTATTTGATATTTTCTTGTCTGATACTTATTTTGAATATAATCAATCCATCTTCTCCATTCCGATACATATCTTTCTTGTGTATAGTCCTTCAAATACGCTGAGATTTTCGCCATTTCTGCTAAATTCGTTACCTTCAGTATCCACTCTTCAATAGTAGGCAAAAAGTCCTTCTTCCAGTATTGCGCTACCAACAGCCTTGCTGCTGATATTAAGTTCAAAATCAATTTAGTCTCTAATACTGTACAATCCATCGTTATACCCAGTAAAAACAATCGAGGAGTAAATTTCAACCTTTTTTTCAGAATGTTCTGCATCACCCACCAAATTTTTATCCAAAATGTCTTGATTTTCTTACAAGTCCACCATATATGATAATAAGTTGCATCATCACATTCACATCTCCAACATTTAGCTTGCAAATTCGAGTACATACATGATAATTTTTTAGGATCTAAATGCCATCTATAAAATCTTTTCATTGCCTTTTAAAATCCTCTGCTGTTGCTTCTTTTTGTGGCAACATTTCCCAAAGTCTCCATCTAAAACAGCAGTCTTCAAACTTGGCAACTTTAAGACTTGGGGACTTCAACTCCCAGAATTCCCCAGCTAGCATGGACAAGTCTTAAGGTTGCCAAGTTTGGAGACTCCTGATCCAACAGATTAACAGAGTTGGAAGGGACCTGGGAGGTCATCTAGTCCAACCTCCTGCCCAAGCAGGAGAACCTACACCATTTCTGAGAGATGGCAGTCCAGTCTCTTCTTGAAAGCTTCCAGGGATGAAGCTCCCACAACTTCCGAAGGCAGCTTCTGTTCCATGGGTTGATTGCTTTAACTGTCCGTCTAAAAGAATACGGTTTCCTTTTATAAGCCAACCTCACAGGATTATGATCCAAAAATACCTTGGGAAGTAAATCTACCTTAAAAAGCTGAGTAGCCAAGTACTTTGAGATTTAAATCCTGTTTATTCATTAAAAAAAAAAAATCTGTTCTTCAGGAAAGTAGGTATCAATTGCAATTTTGAACCGCAATTTTTCTGTTTCCGTGTTTCAACTGTGTTTCAAATTGTCTGCCAAATCAAATAAAACTTTCGGTAATTTGCCAGAATTGATTTAATATTTTTCTCAGAACTCCTGTGGCAAAATCATTCACGCCCAATCCCCCATCTAATCTGAAAGATGGATTTCACAGTTTAAAACCATTTAAAACAATTACTCCTGTTTGTTGAAGTCTGGGTCTTGGCACCTGCATCAAAAATGGGAAAACAATGAGACTCTATTGCTGGAAATTGGCAAGAAGGTGGATTAGACACAAAGTGTGCTTCACAACGACAATCAAACAGTGCCAGTAGCATCTTCTTGGGCAATTGCACCTTTGCACAGATTCTTAAAGGGCCCCATCTCTGCTTTTAATTCACAGATTAATTCACATTTTTCTCTAGAGGCTCCTCCACAATGAAGTCATTGGCTCTTCTGTTGCTGGCCTGGGCTGCCTTTGCAAAAGCACAACCTGCAGGTGAGTGAGTAACCGGTGGATTTGTGGGAAAGTGGCTTCTCAAAGAATCCCTGAATCCTGGGGCTGGAAGGGAGCTTGGAGGTCTTCTAGTCTAACCCCCTACCCAAGGCAAGAGACCTTAAAACATCATGGACACATGGCTGTCCAGTCTCTTCTTGAAAACCTTCAGTGATGGAGCACCCACAACTTCTGAAGGGAAGCCTTTCCACTGTCAGGAAATTTTCCTTAGTTCCAGGTTGCTTCTCTCCTTGGTTAGTTTCCACCAGGGGTGAAATGCTACCGGTTCAGAGCAGTTCGGGGGAACCGGTAGTAAAAAATGTTACCGGTTCAGGCGAACAGGTATTTCCAACAATCAGCTGGGCGACAATCAGCTGTGACGTGCAATTTATATTAGCCAGAATTCTTGGATTTCCTGCTTTCTAGCTAATCTAAATCACGTGGCACAGCGGATTCCCCTCCCACTCGCTGTTCTACTTACCTTTGCAGATTCGGAAGGCTTCAAAATGTTCCCTTTTTAGGGCTGTGCGGCTGCGCCTCAGATCCCTTAGTCCTTCTTTTCACTAAATTAGACAGGGGTTGGCAACCTTAAACACTCAAAGAGCTACTTGGACCCGTTTCCTACAGAAAAAAAAACACACCAGGAGCCACAAAACCTGGGTGGGCGTGGCCAACTCAATGTCACTCATTGTTCTGCCCCAGCTATGGATCCCAAAGAACACAGCACACACAAACTCTGAACAAAACTTAGTTTACTCAAATAATGCCGTTTTAGCAAATGCCGGCTGTTAATAAGCGTTCTTAACAGCCTGCCAGAATTCCACAGATAAGATAGTCAGAGTCTTACTGGAGTTGGCAGAAAGCCCGAAACAAGGTTGCAGAGAAATCCCAACGCGATGATTAGCGAACTAAAGTTGTTTCCTGCAGCTTGTTGCAAGCTGCGTTCTTTCTTAAATAGGCTAAGGGCGTGGCCAATTAGCCCCAAGCCTTACTCTCGAGGAGACCTCCTCCTGAGGAACCACTCCTGCCTTTTGGCAGCCCTGCGTGCTCAAGCATTGAGAAGAGGCTCCTCCTCTTCATCCTCTTCACTTAAAGGAGCCTCTGGAGGTTCTGAAGGCCCTGGCGGAATCCCCGCCTCTGGCACCACATCTTTTGCAGCCTCCTTGCTGTCCAACTCAAGCACCAGCTGTACAGGCTGCTGGCGCGGCACCACACCAGCCTCCTCCTCGTCGGGATCAGCAACAATCCGTGCAGGCCGCTGGCGGGCCACAACACTCACTCCCACCTAGCCACGCCTACCCAGCCACAAAACTATTCTCCATGTCTCTCTCCCCCTCTCTCACCCCCTCTCTGTGTATCACTGTGTGTGTTTCTCTCTATGTCTCTCTCTCTCTCTCTTTTGTGTGTGTGTGTGTGTCTCCCCCTTCCCTTCGGGCGGCCATCTTCCTCCTCCTCCCCCCCCTCCTCTTGTAACTCCCCTGGCTGGCTGTGGCTGAGCCGGGAGCGTTCGCACATGCAGGGAGACTCCATCCTGAAGTGGGAGGAAGTGAAGGCTGCCTTATGTGCAAATTTTTATTTTATTTTATTTTTTAATTTATTTTTATATGCCGCCCTTCTCCGGAGACTCAGGGCGGCTTACAATGCATTAAGCAATAGCCTTCATACTTTTGTATATTTATACAAAGTCAACTTATTGTCCCCATAAACCAGGTCCTCAATTTACCCACCTTAGAAAGGATGGAAGGCTGAGTCGACCTTGAGCCTGGTGAGAATTGAACTCGCAGTAATTGCAGGCAGCTGGATGTTAAATGCTGCCTTAGTAGGAGGTATTAGCCTCCTACGCCACTCAGGCTCAGTATGTGCCAAATGTGGCGCGAAGGTACAGGACAGCTTTGGTCCTGCATTCTCTGGTGACCCTCTTCCCCCTCCTCTTCTCAGGACACCCGGGATGGCTGTGGCTGAGTCAGGAGCTATGCACAGGCGGAGAGACCCTCCTCAAGTGAGCACCAAAGCTCAGGAAAGGTGTGCTCGGAGCAGGCAGCGCCTCGATTAAGGAGGGCCTCTCCAAGCATGCACACTCCCAACTCAGACACAGCAAGCCAGGGGTTTATGAGAGGAGAAGGCGGGGAGGAGAGTGCAGGAGCAAAGTTGCCCTGTACCTGCCTTCAGGCCACATTTGCACGTAAAGCAGCCTTCGCTTCCTGCCGCTTTGGGCTGGAGTCCAAAAAAGAAATAAGAGGGCCGTGGCGAACCAGTGATGGGACAGGGAGCCGCGGGAGAGGGCCCAAAGAGCCGCTTGTGGCTCTGGAACCGCGGGTTGCCGACCCCTGAACTAGACATACCCCAATTCCTGCAACCGTTCATCATACATTTTAGCCTCCAGTCCAGAGATGAAATCCAGCAGGTTCTGACAGGTTCTGGAGAACCGGTAGCAGAAATTTTGAGTAGTTTGGAGAACCAGCAAATACCACCTCTGGTTGGCCCCAGAGTGGGGTGGGAATGGGGATTTTGCAATACCTTTCCCCCAGAAGTAGGGAGGGAATGGGGATTTTGCAGTATCCTTCCCCCAAGAGTGGGGAGGGAATGGGGATTTTGCAGTATCCTTCCACTGGAGTGGGGTGGGAATGGAGATTTTGCAATATCCTTCCCCCAGGAGTGGGCAGGGAATGGGGATTTTGTAGTATCCTTCCCCTGCCACGCCCACCAAGCCACATCCACAGAACCAATAGTAAAAAAAATTGGATTTCACCACTGCTCCAGTCCCCTAATCATCTTTGTGTTCTTCTCTGCACACTTTCTATAAATTCTTTCATCAATATTAAAATAATAATACATACCGTAATTAAAAGAACTGTTTTCATCAATACTCAGCATTGGCTTATATCGCAGGGCAAATTCAGCACAGAAAGCGGGAATTCCGTAGTGTCCCTGGGCAGGATAAGGAGAAAATGGATCAGAATATTATCTTGATATGCAAAATGCAGAATTCTGAAAAATGCACAAAAGAGGTAGTCCTCAAGTTACAACCACAGTTCTGGGGCCAGAATTTCCCTTGCTAAACAAAGTAAGGGAGTCCCACCCATTTTATGACCTTTTTTGCCACAGCTGTTGAGTGTTGAATCACATGGTCATTAAGTGAGTCTGGCTTTCCTTGTCAGAAGGTCACAAAAACGAATCACGTGACTCTGGGACACTGCAACCGTCATAAATACGAGTCAGTTGCCAAGCATCCGGTTTTTTGATCACGTGACCAAGGGGAAGCTACAACAGTCGTAAGTGTGAAAAACAGTCAGAAGTCCCTTTTTCAGTGGTGTTGTAACTTTTTCAGTGGTGTTGTAACTTTTTCAGTGGTGTTGTAAATGAGTGGTTGTAGGTCGAGGACTACCTGTAGCAACGTCTTGAATGGCGGTTGAGTACAGATTGAGCTGAGGGACAGGATTTGCCTACAAAGGGGCCAAGGACGTTTTGGTGGCATCGACAGAAGGTTTGGCAAGAAGTACAAATAATTGAAGAGATGCCACAGCCAGGGCGTGTCATTTAACGGGCTGAAAATTAATTTTTGCAATTTTTTTTTTTCAGCCAGGGTTTCTAAAAATATGTGTTTTTACACCAGGAATTCAAATCTGCTGTTATTTTTGCAATTGCACAACGCTTAGCCTGGTGTGGTAAATCCACGACTGATCACATGCCCCACAAATGCTGTTAGCTTTACCTTCTCAAAATTACACCTCGCGCTAACACAAATGAAAGTGTTTTTCTGCATGAATCTTATCTAGCTCAGCAAGAAAATAATCCATGCAATCCTAAACTAGCCTCAGAAAGCAATGATCTGAGTTACAAAAATGTTCAAGCCAGTTTCACCCAGTCTTGTTCGTTCTTCAACGTCAGACGCTGACTTGATTCTTGGCCTCTTGATATCACCCTCACGTTTCTCCTGTGTCCACACTCTGCTGGCTGCCTCTTTGACCCGCTTCCCACTCCCTCTATGGACTGGGCATGACTGGGCTACTCTGGTTCTCCTTGCACTGGTTCCTCAAGGAACATCTTTATTTTCGCTGTAGTCAGTTTGCAGGTCAAAGGTGGCCCACATACACCTTCAGACCAGGCAATCCGCTCCAGCACAGTGGATGGTCTGGCTGGACCTCTACCCACTGCATGGCACCACCTTCACAGCTGGTAGTTGGAGTGGAGTGGAGTGGAATGGAATAGAAGAATAGAATAGATAATAGAGTAGAGTAGAGTAGAGTAGAGTAGAGTAGAGTAGAGTAGAGTAGAGTAGAGTAGAATAGAATAGAATAGAATAGAATAGAATAGAATAGAATAGAATAGAAGCTGGAAGGGACCTTGGAGGTCTTCTAGTCCAGCCCCCTGCTCAAGCAGGAGATCCGACCGATACCATTTCAGACGAGTGACTCTCCAGTCTCCTCTTAAAAACCTCCAGGGATGACCAGTATTAATTAACCTTTGCAGAACCTCCTCCAAAGGCCTTCAAGCTTTTCTCACTGCCTTTCTTCTCCTTCTTCCTGAAATGCACCTGATTACCTGCCATCCCTTGAGCAGGTTTCCCTGTTTCCGAGCCTTTCTCTGGAGGGAAATGATTAAAAAATATATATCTTCCACCAGGCTCACTGCAGACAGAACAAGGTTCTCCTTTGATGGTTCTGGGGAACTGCTGGCCTGAAAAGTTATGATATTTACCAAGCAACTTACCAAGCACATCTAAATTATATGAAAGTAATCAAAATATCTTTACAATCCCCAACGCATGTCCCGATATTAGAGCCTAATCTTTGGAAATCGAAAGCTGAAAAACGTGAGACGCCCTCATGCCCTACCAGGAAACATCTCCCTGGGTAAAACAGCTGGCACAAAATATTTTCAGGAAAAGGACAAACGGAGACAGAAGGATTAGGAGAAATGCGACAGAAACAAACAAACAAATGGGACAAGGAGACAGCTGAAAGTTAAAAAATAAAATCTTAAAAACCATTCAGCCGTTAAAAGATAAATATAAAGAAAACCACAGGATAGTACCCTTAAATGCAGCTAGGACTATCTGTATTTAATTCTAAAAATTAATAGTTTGGTTCTCCCCAAATGTTCAAAGCATGCCTTGACTTACAACAGTTCTTTAGCGACCGTTCGAAGTGACCTTACGACCGTTTTTCACACTTACGACCTTTATAGCATCCCCATGGTCACATGATCAAAATTCGGAGGCTTTGCAACTGGCATGTACTTATGACAGTTGCAGTGTCCCGGGGTCACCTGACAAGTGGGGGAGCCAGATTCATTTAACAACCATGTTACTAGCTTAACGTCTGTCATGATTCACTCAGCAACTGTGGCAAGAAAGGCCATAAAATGGGTCAAAACTCACCACCACCCACTCACTTAGCAACAGAAATGTTGGGCTCCAGGCTGGTCGTAAGTCAAGGACTATTAATGGAAACTAACCAAGGACAGAAGCAGCCTGGAATTAAGGAGAAACTTCCTAACAGTGAGGACAATTAACCAGTGGAACAGCTTGCCACCAGAAGTTGTGGATGCTCCATCACTGGAGGTTTTTAAGAGGAGACTGGACAGTCACTCGGCTGAAATAGTATAGGGTTTCCTTCTTGAGCCAGGGGTTGGACTAGAAGACCTCCAAGGTCCCGTCCAGCTCATTCATTCTTTTCTACCGTTTTATCTTTTTAATATTGGTGGTAAGATGGGCAGCCAATCAATTTTAAAAATAAGCAAATCAAATAGAAATAATGCCCAGGGACCAATGGGCAGCAATGGGTACAACAAACATCCTTCTAGCTTTTTCGTTGAGTTTACACTTTATTGCATGTTGTCTCGACAGCCTTCGGCTGCTGGGGCACCACAGACGAGGACTGTCTTCAGAAGCAGTACGGGAGTTGCAAAGAAATCAAGAATTCTTGTGCAAAGGCTTCAGGTGAGCAAAGAGGCCGCTTCATCCCCATCAAATCTCTCCGTTTCTGGGTACCGTATTTTTTGGAGTATAAGACGCACCGGAGTATAAGGTGCACCTACCTTTTTTGGTTGTTGTTTTTTTTAAAGTTTTTTTAATATTTTTTAGACAAACACACCTACAAACATACAATGTATTTTCTTTGAACAGAGTATTTGGCTGGTTCACAAATTTAAACAGTGTTTAGTCATTTCAATTAAATTTACAATTTCTATATTTCCTTTTTGCCATATTTATTCCTCATCTATTTTTTTTATAAAAAAACCAATATTACCCTTCATTCTCATCTCTAATCTTAATCAAATTCAATTTTTCCCTTCTATTCTATATTATGCCCCTTCCCATTGTCATCTATTTTTATATCCATCCTCACATTGGTTAATTATTTAATATTACAATTGTTTAATACAAATTCAATATTTTTATATAAATCAATTAGTTATAACTATCTTTTTTGTATATTAATTAATATGAACATGAATATTCCAATTATTTCCATGCAATCCAATTTCTTACAAATCAATTAATTATATTTACCAATAATAATAAACCAAATAATTTCCCCCATATATTCCTCCAAACCACAATTTAACCATTTCTGCTTTCAACACAATATACAATTAATAGTATCTCAATTATTACAATTCCCTAGTTAAATAGAGCTTTTTTCTTTCGTGTTTTAAAATCTTGAACTCTCCTCTTTTTCCCTAAATTTCCCATTGTTTGCACCTACCTTTTTTGGTGAGGAAAAAGAAAAAGAAATCTCTCTCTGCCTCATTTTGTCACATTGCAGCAAAGACCCTGCTTTACTTTCAGTTTCGTTTTTTCAGCATAGCTAGGGGAAAAAAAATCTGCTCCAGCACTCTTTGCAGCAGGCAGCAGAGCCCTGCGCAAAACAGCTGAGAGCAAATCAGCTGAGAGTCGGGAGGCCGATCTAATCAACTTGTACTAATTAACCTATGCTGAAGCTGAAAGGGGCTGTTTTTTCTTGCTGTTTGCTTGCAAGGAGGTAAGTGATGCGAGGCACAAGCCAAAGGATGGGGGCCAGTGGATGGGCAGAGCTACATTCGGTGTATAAGATGCACCTAAATTTTCATCCCCTTTTGAGGGGTAAAAAGGTGCATCTTATACTCCGAAAAATACGGTAATTTCGGTCCATCATAAACTCCTTTGCGATAAATGGGTGTCTCTCCCTCCCTCCGGTTTCCACCCCAGTGCAACACAGTTTGCAAGAGAGCGGCAAAAAAGTCAAAATGTTGTCCACAAATAGAGGATTGGAGGCCAACCTTGGTTTAATGGGCATTGGGAGGCATGGAAAAGAGAGGAGGGGGCTTTGACTTCACGGTCGTGGTTGCCGTTTTGACTTTATGACACCACACACACAAACACAATGGATATCCCTGCTGTGGTCAATCTGTATTGACCAGGACAGTATTAGTACCTTTATAAAGCCTTAGGTAAGGCCACACCTAGAATCCTGCATCCAATTTTGGTCACCACAATATAAAAAAGATTTTGTGACTCTGGAAAGAGCGCAGAGAAGAGCAACTAAGAGGATCAAAGGTCTGGAGACTAAAACAGACGATGAACTGTTGCAGGAACCGTTCATCTCTAGTGAAGGACCAGGGGAGACAGGATAGCATCTTCCAATATTTGAGGGGCTGCCACAGAGAGGAGAGGGTCAAATTATTTACCAAAAGCACCAGAAAGCAGGACAAGAAACAATGGTTGGAAAATAATCAAAGAGAGCAGCAACCTGGAACTGAGGAGAAACTTCCTAACAGTGAGAACAACTATCCAGTGGAACTGCTTGCCACCAGAAGCTGTGGGGGCTCCATCGCTGGAGGCTTTTAAGAAGTGACTGGACAGCCACCTGTCTGAAATGGTATAGGTCAGTGATGGCTAACCTTTTTGCCATCGCGTGCCAAAAGCTGAGGGAATGCAGGGTAATCATGCACATGCGTGCCCACACTCATAATTCTATGTGCCCTGCCCCCCCACGCATGTGCATGCGATCTCCCCCATGCTCCCCCCACTTTTGGCATGTGATGACACAGTAGGCCTGTTTTTTTGCCCTCCCCAGGCTCCAGAGGCTTTCTAGGCGCCTGGGGAGGGCAAAAACAGCCTTCCCAACCCCACCGGAGGCCCTCTGGAGGCCGGAAACAGTCCGTTTGCCAACTTCTGGTGGGCCCAGAAGGCCCAAAAATCAGCTGGCCAGCACGCACATGCGTACTGGAGCTGAGGTAGGACAACGCTCACATGCCCAACAATATGGCTCCACGTGCCACCTGTGACACGCGTGCCATAGGTTCTCCATCACGGGTATAGGTTCTCCTGCTGGAGAAGGAAGTTGGACTAGAAGGCCTCCAAGGTCCTTTCCAGCAGTTCTGATCCTCATCCTGATCCTTTATTACAGGGCTCTCCAAACATGGCAACTTTAAGACTTATGGACTCCAACTCCCAGAATTCCCAGGCTAGCCATGAATTCTGGGAGTTGAAGTCCACAAGTCTTAAAGTTACCAACTTTGGAGGCTCCTGCTTTATTCAGACAAAGTTCTGCTCAAATCCAGAGGACTGTCAGCGTTGCAACGCTGGCATAGAGAGAGAGCAGAGGAGAGCGAAAGATAAACTCTGAAACTTTTGCCTGATAAATCCCTTTGAAGCCCGGTTGTCGTGGAAATGAGGGGAGGGGGCACATTCCTGGGAAATGATGAGGAAAAGAAGTCTGAAGAATGACTTGGAAGACAGCCAATGAGAAGCAGAGACTTGGGGATCGGAAAGGGAGGGATTGGGAGGCAAAAGGTCAGTCTTCTCCGTGCGGAGTCATGATCTGGTGGCTGAGCAAAATTAAAGAAAGATTTCCTTAAAGATTGGCAGTTTGGAAATTCATTTAATTTTGAGATAGCACCGCAGTCTGACAAGGACATTTTTTTTTTCTAAATGCCAGAGGTCGGCAATCTTTCAGCCCCATTTTTCATGCCAACAGTGAGGATCTAACAGCGTTTCTCAACTTGGGCAGCTTGAAGATAAGTGAACTTCAACTCCCAGAATTCCCCGGCCAGCCATAGTTAATTTCTATGAACCTAATATGTATAGATCTGGGTTATATAGTTCGGAATCATTACAGCTCTTTTTACCTTATAGTTCAAAATTGACCTTATCCTCTACCACTTATGTAAATTGGTTATTATGAAATGTTTGTGGAAATGAAAAGCAGACGGAGGAGGAGGAGGAGGTCAAATGGAGGAGGAGAGGAGGAGGAAGAAAGAAAGAGGAGGACAAGTGGAGGAGGAGGAAGAGGAAGAAAGGAGGAGGGAAGGAGAGGAGGAGGAAAGAAGGGACGAGGAGGAGGACAAATGGAGGGGAGGGAGGGGGAGGAGAGGAAAGAGGAGAAAGAAGAAAGGAGGAGGAGGAAGAGGGGGATGGAAGGAGAGAAGGAGGAAAAAAGGAGGAGGAGGAGGGAAGGAGAGAAGGAAAAGAGGGGAAAAGGAAGAAAGGAGGACAAGGAAGAAGAAAGAAGGAGGAAGAGGACAAATGAAGAAGGGGAGAGGAAGGAGAGGAAGAGAAGGAAGGAGAGGAAGAGGAGGAGGAGAGGAAAAGGAGGAAGGCAGGAGGATGGAAGAAGAAGAGGATGAGGAGGGGCGAGGAAGAAGACTGTGAGGTACTTGGTGTTCTCTGAGCTTCTTTTCAGCCCCCAGACGTTTCATTATCCAACCAGGTAAGATCCTCAGTGCTAGAAGGGAAGGGGGGTTGCAGAGAGGAGGAGGAGGAGGGGGGGGCATTTTGAAATATCAACCATTGAGCACAAATGTATATATATATCTATATATACATTTCTGTATCTATATCTGCTGTGTGGCAGATAGACTGTATAACCTGACAAGTGAAGATGGTGAGATCTACCAGACCTTCTGCGACATGTCCACCAACGGAGGCGGCTGGACGCTGGTGGCCAGTGTCCATGAAAACAACATCTTTGGGAAATGCACCGTTGGCGATCGCTGGTCCAGCCAGCAAGGCAACAATCCCAACTACCGCTACGGAGATGGAAACTGGGCCAACAACAACACCTTTGGATCCGCCATAGCAGCCACGAGCGATGACTACAAGGTAGGAGGAATTCATTTCAGGGGAGAGGAAAGCAAAGCAAACTTTTTTAGCCACAGGCCAAACTCAGTCTCAAAGAGATGGTAGCAATAGGCAGCGTTGGGAATAGTGTCTAATACTTGGTGCAAAAAACAGCAGATGTTGTCCATCCAGTGTCATTGATGTAGACCTCAACATCTGTGGTCCCCTTGAACCTAAATGTGGTATGTCCGAAGATGACCGGAGAGCCAGTTTGGGCACAGAATGTCCTGACTTGTGTTGAACCCAACATGATTCTGTAGGGCACACATGGCTGTGGACTTCTAGTCCAACCCCTGCTCAAGCAGCAGATCCTATGCCATTCCAGACATTCTCTTCTTGGACACCTCCAGTGATGAAGCACCCACAACTTCTGGTGGTAAGCAGTTCCACTGGTTAATTGTTCTCACTGTCAGGAAATTTCTCCTTAGTTCTAGGTTGCTTCTCTCCTTGATCAGGTCCCATCGGTTGCTTCTTGTCCTGCCCTCAGGTGCTTTGGAGAACAGCTGGAAACCCCACACACACCCACACTTATCTGTGACAGCCCAGTATTTTGCTCCTTCTTCAAGAGGTCCTTCTAGTCAATGGGGGAGGGGAAAAGGTCACCCCTCTGGAGTGTTGCTAAAGTCAACCCTCTCACCCGTAATCTTTACGTCCATGAAGAAAAGCAGATGAAGGGGACAGGTGACAGTCCTTCTCCAGGTGTTGTGTCATATCTACATCTATATCTAGATATCTATATCTAATGTGTCTTTCTACAGAGTCTCAGCCTTCAGAGCTCCTCAAAGGGTCTTAGAAAGGGACTCTTGAAGCTCCCTCCAGTGTCATCAACCGTCTCTCCTCTTTTCCAGAACCCAGGCTACTATGCTCTTAGAGCCCAAGATATCTCCATATGGCATGTTCCCAACAACACCCCAATGAAGAAATGGCGGGACGTTTCCTTCTTGAGATACCACACCGAGACACGCTTCTTGTCTGACCTAGGGGGTAACCTTCTCCGGCTCTATGAGGTGAGCCCAACCGACCTGACTTTTCTGCCTGTTGACTCACCAAATATGACTGCGTCCGTCTCTTGGACCTGATCTGGCTGATCCTAAAATGCTAAATATGCATTGGCTGGTTGGTTGGTTGATTGATTGATTGATTGATCGATCGATTGATTGAATTCGTAGCAACTTTAGGCTTTGGTGGTTGGTTGAGAGACCATCAGAATCCCAGAACTGTGTCTTAGAACTAGGACATCTCAAAAGAGGATCAAAGCCGACTATCTCCATCTTGACATTCAGAAAACCTCTAGCTGGACCTTCACTTGGTCGTCGTAGTCCAAGAAGTCACCATGAATTAAGCTCAGTTTTGATGACTGCACCTCGGTTCATCTCAGAGTCTTACAGCCAGGTTGAAAAGGACACCATAAAATGTCTTCATCTTCTGCCTGCTTTGCTAATGGACTGGTCATACATGGAAATAATCCAGCTGTGATTTGTTTTCCAGAGATACCCGGTGAAATATGATGGTGGTAGCTGTCCAAATGATAACGGCCCAGCTATCCCTATTGTTTATGATGTTGGTGATGCCCAGAAGACTTCAGAATTGTACTCTCCCCATGGACGGAGTAAGCATCCTTGCCTCGGTTAGAGGGCTCCCCCACAATACAGGGAGGTTGAACCACCTGTGGCTCCTAGGCTGGGACATCCTCTTTTGAAGCTAAAATCCAGGAGGAAGGTAAAGGAAGGAGCTCCTTTCCAAAATTGGTGCCCCAGTTGAGATGGTTTAGAAAGCAGATCGAGCAGGTTGGGCTAATGACGTATTTTCTTATCTTGGAGGGACATTTTGTAGCCCCCCCAAAATCCAGCTGCTAGGAAAAAGCAATAGGAATGGGAAGAGTTCCGTACAGTATTATGCAAACGTGGCCACTTTTAGGTGGGTGGACTTCAACCCCCAGAATTCCCCGGCCTGCTTGCTTGAAGATGGGTGGACTCCAGCTCACCAACATGCTGTGGGGAATGCTGGGAGTTGAAGTCCCAGATTGTCAACTGTCATCAACCAAGATTGTGAAAATAATTATGATCCTCATAATTATTTAATATCTCAACCACATTTAATATCTCTCTTCTGTTTCTCAGCTGAATTTGTCCCTGGCTTCGTTCAGTTCCGGGTGTTTAATAATGAAAAGGCAGCGTTGGCTCTCTGCTCTGGCATTAAACTCACCAGGTGCAACTCAGAACATGTGAGTATATGCCAGCCTTCCCGAAAAACACATCCTGCTTGAGTATCCAAATAGAAGTCCAGGATCATTTCATTTCTGAAAACCTTTCTGTTTCTTGAATACGTGGCATGGTAATGGCGAAGTAAAACTCGCTCTGCAATTCCAAGGCATCAGAACATAATATTTAACAATGATTTTCCCAGCCGAACCCCCAGACTTCCACTTAGCTCACGTAAACAAGTTTTCTTTTTCTTTCTTATGGGAACCATCTGCCTTCTTCTTCACACCTGCTAAAATGTCCTTGAAAAGCTCTCAGACTCCCCTCACCAGCTTCACTGGAACTGGAGAAGTTTCGTTTCTCTAACTAACCCATTCGTAATCAACACCTCCCCACCACCCACCTTACTCTAAAGGCAAGATGAAACAAAAAGGCACATAGCTGCCACGTTTTTCACTCTTGACACACTGCTTGACACACATGCAAACCAGGGACTTACATACATCCTTTTGAGCTGTGCTTTTCATTCCAAGAATTCCGAATTTCTAGAATGCTGGATTTGTGTGTGTGTGAGAGAGAGAGAGATAGTTTTGTACCCTGTCATCCATGCACACACTGTGGCATTTCAGAACATAGAACATAGAATCCTCAGCTTGGAAGGAACCTCGGAGGTCCTCTAGTCCAACCCACTGCTCGAGCAGGAGAATCTATACTGTTTCAGACAAATGGCTGTCCAGTCTCGTCCAGAAAACCTTCAGTTTTTGGAGGCTTCTGGAGGCACTGATTAATTGTTGTCACTGTCAGGAAATAGACAAGATGCTTAACTCCCTTTCTTCCTCCCTTAGCACTGCATTGGAGGAGGGGGCTTTTTCGCTGAAGGAAACCCCCGTCAATGTGGTGATTTTGCCAGCTTTGACTGGGACGGCTACGGGACTCACCGCGGATGGAGCACTTCACAAACCATCGTGGATGCGGCCGTGCTGATCTTCTACCGCTGAGTCAGCAGCCGAATCAGAATCCGGAGATGGAGGTGCCTGTCCCGGAGCAGAAAAAATTATGATTTAAACACACAATCTGACAACGCTTTGCAACAAAAACAAAAGCAGAACATTAAAATTTGGCCTCTGTTTTGTCTTTCTTTTTTCAAAGTAATCCTTGCCCTTAATGTTTACAAACGTAAAGGTAAGGAAACAAGAAAAAACAAGAAAAATATAAAAAGAAAAAAAAATGCAAAATGTAGAAATCAAGGGAATGGAGATAAGAGAGGAAAGATATAAACTACAAGCATTTGCAGACGATTTGGTATTTATTGTAGAAGAACCACTAGAGACAATTCCAAAATTGTTAAAAGAGAGAGAAGAGTTTGGAGAGGTAGTAGGACTGAAAATAAATAGAGGGAAAAACTAAAGTTATAGTTACACAAAAACAAAAAGAAAATCTGGCAGAAAAAGTGGATTTTCAAATGGTCAAGAAAGTTAAATATTTGGGATACTTAACAGCAAGGTATGCAATGCTAAAAGAAGACAATTATATAAAGGTACTTAAGCAAATAAAATTAGTTTTAGAAAAATGGAAAATCAATATCAGGAAGGATTGCTACAATAAAAACGAATATCCTATCAAAACTGCTCTTCCTGTTCCAAACTGTACCTATAGAAATTGAAATTCTTTGATGATCTGAACAAATTGATGCTGAAATTTATTTGGCAAGGGAAAAAAAGGAGAATATGATTGAAAAAGCCACAAGAATCTAAAGAAAATAGAGGATTTGGACTACCAGATTGGTCTCTATATTATCAAGCATTTACAAGACTGTTATATTTAAAAGGTCTTTCTCTTTCCGAAATAATCCTTGACATTAAAGTTTACAAATGCAAAAGTAAGGAAACAATACAAAGCACGAAAAATATAAAAAGAAAAAAAATCCAGAGGCAAAGGAAAATAGAAAAGAGATATATAAAGAAATGATATCGTCAAAATCAGCAGAAGTGATAGTGCCGCTGTCTTAAAAATTTCTATAATCACACAATTAAAAAACTAATATCAAAACAGCAAAAGAAACAAAGAATGTATTTTCTACCGTCTATGAAGTCAGTCAGTTCTGATTAACATTTTTATTAAATGAGCTGCATCAGAAAGCCAGAAAAATCAAGAAATACATATTTTCTTTTACAGATTTTTCTCCCTTCACCCCCTTTATTCTTTGTTCCTTTTAAAAAAAAAACATTTTCTTAGTTTGCATTATTTTGCTATCTTTGTATTTTTAAAGTTCAATAAAAATATTACCATTTAAAAATAAAGTCAGAAAAATATATTTCAAGGAAAACAAAACTGCCTTCCTTGGTGGGCTGGGATGGATCCTTATTTTAAAAATAATAAAGGTGGGATATAAATAAAAAGATAAATAAATTAGGCATTCTAGCTTATAAAGATCAGTCCTAAATCTGCAAAGAAACAAGATTAATTTTCTGTAAGTGTTCAAGTCAGAATGCCAGGGTGAAATACTAACGATCGCCACAAGGAAGCAGTATTCATCCATAAAACTGGTCATATCCCACAGAATAAAATATTTGTCATTCAGATAGTAAAGATTATTTGCTTAGTGTGTCATCCTATGTCTCAGCAACTGTAGGATTTAGGGAGAAAACACTCATAATTCTGTGTGACTGATTGTTGTGCTGAACTTTGATGAGAAGATCGGTGGCCTAATCAAACAGATGGGTCCATGTAAAGACGACCAAGAGCATTTTCTAAAATGCAAAAGTGAAATTGAAACAAAAAATGTCTGGCTTCAGAATTAAGAAGGACTTTAGATGTACAACTTTTGTGAGATAAGTCATCATATCTACGATTTAAATACCTACATTATTGGTTTTCAACCTTGTCAGCTTCCAAATGGCTTGGCGTTCAATTCCCAGAATTCCCCAGCCAACCGAGGGAATTCTGGGAGTTGAAATCCACCCATCTATTTTAGAATAGAATAGAGCTGGAAGGGACCTTGGAGGTCTTCTAGTCCAGCCCCCTGCTCAAACAGGATATCCTATACCATTTGACAAAAGTGACTGTCCAGTCTCTTCTTAAAAATCTCCGGTGATGGAGCGCCCACGATTTCTGGTGGCAAGCTGTTCCACTGGTTAATTGTCCACACTGTTAGGAAGTTCTCCCTTAATTCCAGATTGCTTCTTTTCTTGATTAGTTTCCAACCATTGTTTCTTGTCTTGCCTTCTGATGCTCTGGAGAATAATTTGAATAATCTTCTTTGTGGCAGCCCCTCAAATCCTGGCATACTGGAAGACTGCTATCATGTCACCCCTAATTCTTCTTTTCTTTAGACTAGCCAGACCCAAATCCTGCAACCGTTCTTCGTATGTTTTAGTCTCCAGGCCTTTAATCATCTTAGTTGCTCTTCTCTGCATTTTTTCCAAAGTCTCAACCTCTTTTTTGTAGTGTGTAGTATGTTTTTTCTTTTAAAAGCCTCTGATGAGTTGCCTGATCAGCAGAGACTTTTTTTCTTTTAAAAGCCTCTGATGATCCCAGCTGAGTTGCCTGATCGTCAGAGGCTTTTAAAAGAAAAAAAGCCTCTGCCAATCAGGCAATTCAGCTGGGATCGTCAGAGGCTTTTAAAAGCATTTTTTAACAACATCTTCGCCGAAGAGGTTGTAGAAAAAATGGTATTAAAAGTTAAAAAAAAAAAAGTTGGCCACACCCACCCAGTCACATTAACCCCCACCACCATTAAGCCACGCCCACAGAACTGGTAGTAACAAATTTTAGATTTCATTCCTGACTCACAGTTCCTGTTTTTGAGCCAGGTCTCACCTAATCTGTACTTCTACCTTTGATTTTTCTTGCCTAAGTTTAAAACTTGGCTTTTATCCACATTTAAAATTCGTTTTGTTGCGTCGGGCGCCATTGTCCAAGTTTGTCAAGATCTAATCCAGACGGAAGATTTATTATCCATGCCATCATGGGATAAAAATAAAGGCCTCCCGTGACATCCTTTGAGTAAACTTGAAAAACAGACTCTAAATTTAACTAAGCAATACATTCGTTGGGGGGTTTTATCTGGCTAAACTGTGATAAGTTTGTTTGGTTCCGGCGTTGATGCAGTCCGTAGGCATTCGAAACAACTGCGATCACATCAGGAGTAAAATGATATCGTGACTCAAACATCAGCCTCAAATACTCTCATTCCATTGGCGTGGTGTGTGAGTGAAAAGTCCCAGGTTGTGAGTCATGATAGTAGAGTGAGGTGTGTTTTCTCGCTTAGGTTTGCCACCTCCACGAACATCTAAGGCAGTGCTTCTCAACCTTGGCCCCTGGACAATGTGTGGACTTCAACTCCCAGAATTCCCCAGCCAGCAAAGCTGGGAGCCAGAATTCTGGGAGTTGAAGTCCACACATCGTCCAGCAGCCAAGGTTGAGAAACACTGATCTAAGGGGTGAACAGTCAGCTATTCTGTCTCATAGCATCATAATGCTGGGAAGGACCTTGGAGATCTTCTAGTCAATCCCGTTCTGGCAGAAGACCCTATACCCATGATGGCGAACCTATGGCACGCGTGCCACAGGTGGCACGTGCATCCATATCGGTGGGCACGCGAGTATTGCCCTAACTCAGCTGATTTTTGGGCCTTCTGGGCCCACTGGAAGTTGGCAAATGGCCCGTTCCCAGCCTCCAGAAGGCCTCTGGGGGGACGGGGAAGGCTGTTTTTACCCTCCCTAGGCTCCAAGAAAGTCTCTGGAGCCTGGAGATGGCGAAAAACGGGCCTACTGGGCCCACCACGCCATCGCGTGGCAAAAGCGGGGAGAGCACACTGAATTAAGGGTGTGGGCATGCGTTGGCGCAACCCCCCCGCTCTCCCCCACTTTTGGCACACGACGGCCAAAAGGTTAGCCATCATTGCCCTATACCACCCGGGTCAAATGGTTGTCCAGTTTCTTTTTAGAAATTTCCAGTGTTAGAGCACTCATAACTTCTGGAGGGAAGCCATTCCACTGATTAATTGTCCTCACTATCAGGAAATTCCTCCTTATTTCTAGGTAGGTTCTCTCCTTGGTTAGTTTCCATCCGTTGCTTCTTGTCCAGTCACTTTTTTTCAGGGTCGTTGGAACTTCAGTCACTAAATGAAGAGTTGTAAGTCTAGGACTACCTGTATAGAATAGAATAGAATAGATTATAGCCTAGGGCAGAATAGAATAATAAAGTTGGAAGGGACCTTGGAGGTCTTCTAGTCCCACAAAACTCCCCCACTGAAAAAATCTGGACACCGATGTTCTCTAGAAGATGCCCTCTTGACGTCCATTCTGGGTATCTAAGCATCCCTGTACAGAAGAACCCCCCCCGACCCCCCTCCAGGTTATTGGGCAAGACTGGTGACCGCATTGAGTTCAGGGTGCCAAAGGTTAGATGTCCTCTGGCCAAAAAAACTCTTGAGGACCTGCTATGCCTGGAATCTGTTTCGGATTACAAGCCAGGCTTGGCTACGGGCCCTGCATTTTTCTCAAGTATTTACAGAATGCATGACTTGCTTAAGGGAAAGGGTGGTGGGTTAGTCCCTTAAAATCAGTTTAAGGCTGTTCTAGATGAAATGGGGCAGGGGGAATAAACATTTAAGTGTATTAAAGTTTATTAATAAGCAGAGGTCTCCAAATGTGGCCACTTTAAGGAATTGTGGACTTCAACTTCCCAGAATTCCCTCAATTGCAGACCCATTGCAGACCCCTGCCCTAAATGCCATTTCAATGCAGTGCGGGGTGGGGGTGGGCTTAATTTGCAGGGAAGTGAAACAAAGACAAAGAAAGCGAAGGAGGAGAAAACAGGCAGGAAAAATTAAAATGTCTCTGTTTCTTAGAAGCTTCCTGCTATTTGTACAGCCCCATTTTAAAATGCTTTCTGAGCTGAGGTTGTGTTTCCTTTTGGTTTCATACTAGGTTAGTGAGCTGATGAAAACTATTATTTGATACATAATAATTTCATAATTTTATGGTGTCTTTAAAACACAAACTCACAGAAAGGAAAAAGGAAGGAAGGGAGGGAAGGAAGGGAGGAAAGAAAGAAAGAAAGAAAGAAAGAAAGAAAGAAAGAAAGAAAGAAAAGGAGGACAGGAGGGAGGGAGAGAAAGAAAGAAGGAGGGAAGGGAGGGAGGAAGAAAGAAAGAGAGAGAGAAAGAAAGGAAGGAAGGAAGGAGAAAGAAAAGCAAGAAAGAAAGGTAGGAGGGAGGGATGGAGAGAAGGAAGAAGAAAGAAAGAAAGATGAGAGGGAGGGAAGGAGAAAGAGGAAAGAAAGAAAGAAAGAAAGAAAGAAAGAAAGAAAGAAAGAAAGAAAGAAAGAAAGAAAGGGGGAGGGAGGGAGGGAAGGAAGGAAGGAGAAAGAAAAAGAAAGAGAAAAAAGAAGAAAATAAAGGAAGGAAGGAGAAAAAGAAAAAAGGAAGGAAGGGGAGAGAGAGAGAGAAAGAAAGAAAGATAAAAAGAAAGGAAAAAGTACTGAAGAAAAACAGAAAAGAAAAAAGATATCAAGAAGCTGTTTTCTCTATTTACAGCAGTTATAAATCCAAACAGTTTAACCTCTCTAAAGTTATAATCTTATTTCTCTTCTTTCTGTAATTTATTCTATCTTAAACATGAAAGCCATAAATCACAAATTCATTCTTTTCATTTTTATGTAAAAAAAAAAAAGTCCGCAATAGGCTTCAAATCACCGATAAAAGTAGAGACTAGAACTAAAGGAAACAATTTAGAAAATATATCTTGTTTTTCAATGTATTTCATAGCATTTCCCATTGCTCTGCTGTATTTCAAGTCACATTTTGACCTGTTTAAAATTAAAATTCTCCTCAGAAAGGAGAATATTGGCTAGTTTTTAAGAGCACTTCTTTACTTTACTTGTATTTTGCTAATTGGACTTCACTGTTTTGTTCTCTTTTACGTGCCTTTTATCTTTCATGGTTTATATTATTTTTTTTCAAATATGTAATTTAATTTTTTTTAAATTTAAATGTGTACATTTTTAAAAAAAAAGATGGCACAGGATTCTTTGCTCCACAAACTCCACAAAATGGACAAGCTTGGATCTGTCATCAAGGCTGTACACAAAGACAAGTAAATGTGACTTTATATGATGTAAAAATAACCCTTTGTTTTATTTAATGTTTTTGGGGGGCAACTTTCAAGCTCTGAGTTTTTATTTTTATGTTATTTTTATGGGTCACCCATGTCCCACATTGGGAAAGCCGTTGAGAAAAAGTCATGCACCTCCCTCAGGATCTTTTTTAGCACCAGGACTATTGCAAAAAATAAAAATAAAAAAGTCGAAACATGCTAAAAAAAAAAAAAAGCAAATATGTGCCATTTTATTTTGGCCAAAATTATTGCTCCTTCTTAACCTTAATCTAGAAATTGCGGCGTGGAAGTTCCCCAGCCAAGGTTACAGTCCCTTTATCAAATATGCTGACTTATTATTGATAGGAGAGAAGGAAAAAAAATAACTACTATATATATATATATTTATTCAGGTTTGAAATTGAAACTTGCAACCAAAGGTGTGGGGGAGGGGCCATAAAGCAGAAGTTTCTGCAATTAGAACAGTCCCCACCCGGGACGCCGCGCCCGATTGGCGAAGAACGTAGCGTTTCTTGGCTTTCCTCGGATCGGGATTGGTCGCCTTGAGCCGTCACTCAACCGCTTTTGGGTCTTTCCCGGCTGCTTGTCTTCCAAAGCACAGCCCGGCGAGGGCTTCCACACACGGTGTCCACGCGCCGCTGGCTGGTTTCCGATTGGCTGCCGGGATCGTAAACACGGCGAGGGAGCCAATGGGAGCGCTGTTCACGAGCGCAGCACGCGGGCCCACGAGCCGGCCGCATGGCGCGTGCTGAGATCAACAACGGAGGGGGGCGGGGGCAGGAGGGCGGGAGCGAGTATAAAAGCGCCGGCTGCGTCACCGCCCAGGCAGAGCTGGGGAAGCAGCCGAGCAGGACGGAGGTGCATCGCTGTGCGTTCGTCTCCCGAAAAGTGACATAAACCGCGTCCTGCATCGCTCGCCCCGCTTCCCATTCTTACAAAAGCAGCCTCGGGAATCCGGAGAGCCATTGCATTTTTTGCAATCTTTTTGCAATTTTGACACACGCACACACCATGGTGGTCTTTAAGCGGATCAAGGCGTTGAGGCTGGATTTCGAGGAGAACGGCCGGGTCTATTCCAGCGGCGAGAAAGTAGCCGGCCGCGTGGAAGTGGAAGTGGCCGAAGTCACGCGTGTCTCGGCCGTGCGGTTCCTAGCCTGCGGGGTGGCCCGCGTGTTGTGGATCCGGGGCCCCCAGCAGTGCAAGCAGGAGATGGAGTACCTGCGCCACGAATCGGTGCTCCAGCTGGAGGACCAGCCCGCCGGTGAGGCTTTGCACGGAGGAGGTGGGCTTTTGGGGCGGGGGACTCCAGGTCCCATGCGTCTGGGAGTGGGAGCGCCCCCCCCCCCATCGGTGGCTTGGCATGCATGGCTGGGAAGGGGGATTGGGCACAGCAGCCGGGCATCTCAGCCACTCTTTTAAAAGAGGGGTGGACTGCAACTCCCAGAATCCCCCCTCCGGCCAATTATGGGAGTTGTAGTCCTCCCCTCTTTTAAAGAGCGGCCGAGGTTGAAGATGGTCCTGCTTCTGGGGTGTGAAAACAATTGGGTAGGAATAGCAAATTTCCTCTGCTAAAAAACCTTTTTAAGAAGTTTTAAAATCGAATTTTAAAAACTTCTTTAAAAGATTGCACCCCAAAAAAATTCCCAAGATCTTGATTCCTAAATAAACCCCAGCTTGCCATCCCTGAATGTCTGGGAACTTTAATTTATATATTTAATTATTTGTATATATATTAAAATGTATGCTTAATTTATATAGTCAACTTCTACAGCCACCCAGCTCAATCAAGTGATTGTTTATTCTGTCTTCTTTGATGTTGAAGGAAGGGTTAGGATGCAAGGAGGGAATAGATTGCTTCCAATTTAATCCAATTTATTTAAAAAAAAACAATCGGAGGTCACCAAGGAAATCCCTAAAAGGATGTTAAAAATGCCTTTTTTTAAAAAAAGAGAGAGAGATTGGACACTCATTTGTTTGAAATGGTATTGGGGTCTCCTGCTTGGAACAAGGGGGTTGGACTAGAAGACCTCCAAGGGTCCCTTTCCAACGTTATTCTGAGAGAGGGACCCAGGTGAGGGGGACACCCTCCTGGAGTTTTTAAATTTTGCCCGAGTTCCGCTGCTTTCCAAGAAAAGACATTCTGGATGGTACAGTATGTCCCAGCCAGGAGACAATTTTGGCAACCTTGTTTTAATCGGAAGCGAATTCCCCGGCCATCCAGGTGTTCCCTTTACAAGGGAGGCTTTAGCTGTCAAAACTTGGCTGGAGATCACAGCCAGAGGAGGAAAGCTGGAAAGAGAAAAATAAATCCATTTCTGTAACTTGTTTCTGAGTTTTTAAAAGAAGTGGGATGAATACAGGTTGCGTTCCTTATTTTTAAAAGGGGAAACCCCTTGGAAACCCTTTCTCTGCTGCTGCAAATGTTAATTTTCAGCTTGGAAAAAGAATCCATAAATCTGATTTCTTTCTTTGCTTCTCGTATTTTTCTAGATAAAGATGGTTCTGTTTTGCTGAGACCAGGAAACGTTTACCAATACAAGTTCGAATTTGAACTGCCCCAAGGGTAAGTAAGAGATCAAATAAAAGACTTTAAATCGGTGTGTAAAATCCTTCCATCCGTCATGGATCTGCCCTTGTTCTCCTTTTGTCTAACCTACTTGGGTTTTCTTTCCAGGCCTCTGGGCACCACCTTTAAGGGCAAGTACGGCTGTGTGGATTACTGGGTGAAGGCCTTCCTGGATCGGCGCTCTTTTCCAACTCAAGAGGTGAAGAAGCGTTTCGAAGTGATGGATCAAATTGACGTCAACACTCCAGATCTGATGGTAACTATCTGCCGTTGATTTGCTTCGATCTTTCCTCTCAATCATGCAGGGTTAAATTAGTTAGAATTGCAACTTTAAATACCTGGTTGTTGGGGGGGGGGGTTCTGTCTTTCTCCAAACTTTCTCCCCAAACTTTTGGTGAAGTTTTTGGACTTTTGGGTGGGAATTAATAACCTGTGTCCAAGGAAGTAAAATGTTTCTGGATCATTAGTTTTATAACTGCCTGACTTGGAAGGAAGTTCGCTAAGGAAGAATTTGCAAAGAAAAAAAAAATCCAGTTGAATGTAGTTTACAGTGGATCAGATGATGGTTAATCAAGTTTTGTCTGACTTTGTCGTGTGTTTCTCCGCAGTCTCCGGTCTCTGCCAAAAAGGAGAAGAAAGTTTCTTGCATGTTCATACCAGACGGGCACGTTTCTGTTAGCGCCAGGATCGACCGCAAGGGATTCTGTGAAGGTGAGATCCTTGGGAGCATGGCAATTTCTCTGCCGGTTTTACCTCCATCTGGTAACTTTTATTTGTAAAAACTTTAGCTCGCCCATTGGAGGTAGAGCAGATCAAAACAGGGTTGCCAGCACTGAGTCATTTTTAAAGTCCAGATCTGGGGTTTTGATCTCTTGTCTGTGTTTCTAGGTTTATTTCAAAATCTTTTTCAGTTTTTCTATATCCATAACATATTGCATATGTTAAAAATAACGTAACAGAGTTGGAAGGGAGCTGGGAGATCATCTAGTCCAACCCCCTGCTCACTCCAGGAGACCTGTACTAGGGATTCGAACTGCTGACCTTTCTGAACAACAAGCTCAGTGTCTTAGCTTGTATAATACAATAAGTTGTATTAAGTTAATATAAGTTTAAGGCTAAGTTTATCTAGGTTATCTAGCTTTTTTTGTGTAGAATCTGGGTTGATTGAAGTGTGAAGTAAAAATATAGTTTTAAAACTATTGTGGGTTTTTTCTTTTCTTTTTTGTAGAATCTGGGTGGATTTGGGTGGAAAAAAAACCCTGACTAGATAAAAGTGTAGTTTAAAGCTTGTTAATGCTTTTAGTTATCTACGGGTTTTTTTTGTGTAGGATCTGGATTTGAATGTGAAATCTGGAGGTGCTTTTTTTTTTAGGAAGCCTCCACTGGCAACCCTGAATAAGAACATTGAATTAATTTGAGGGGATTCCTAGGTGACTTGATAACACAGGCTGTTAAGTGGTTTTGAGGGTCTAACCCCCACCATCTCTTCCTCTGCCTTCCTTCCAGGTGATGACATCTGCATCAACGCAGACTTCGAGAACACCTGTTCTCGGATCGTGGTGCCCAAGGCAGCCATCGTGGCCAAGCACACCTACCTAGCCAATGGCCAGACCAAGATGTTCTCCCAGAAACTCTCCTGCGTCCGAGGCAATCACATCACCTCTGGCATGTCCGAGTCCTGGCGGGGAAAAACCCTCCGAGTCAGGAAAATCAAGCCATCCATTCTGGGCTGCAATATCCTGCGCGTGGAGTATTTCCTGCAGGTGAGAGCAACCTTGGAGACGGAGCCCCACTCCTACAATTCTTAGCCCCCATTGCAGGTCGGGTTAGATACAGCTAATAAAATAAAGAGGATATTTTGTAGCTCGGGGTTGAACTGTGAGGTCCTTGGTGCTCTCTGAGCTTGCTGGCAAGACGTTTCATGACCCAGCTAGGTAACATCATCAGGCCTAGAAGAGGAGAGGGGATTGTGAAGAGGAGGAGGAGGTCCCTGGTGCTGAGTTTGATGGTTTCCTGGCAGGCATTTCACTGCCCATCTAGCTAACATCATTCTTAGGAGTTAACTGCAGAGCCGTCTCTTCCAAGTGCTTAAATTAAGCTTCAGGGTCCCAGTTTTTAATTTCTTAAAAATTATTGATTCTAACCAGCTTCAACTGGTTCTAGTTTAGCCAAAGTTTGGCTCTCCCAGAACCTGTTTTTAAAAAAAGTCCAGGTCTCTTCCCCCTTATTTTCAAGGACGTTCTTGAGCCAATCCTGTATCACTGTCGTGTTTCCCCGAAAATAAGACCCTGTCATATTATATATATATTGAACCCTGAAATAAGCCATGCACTCAAAAGCCCAATTGGGCTTTATTATCGGGATGTCTTATTTTGGGGGAAACCAAGTACATGTGGGATTAAACGTTTAGAGAAAGAGCCTCTTTTAATCCAGGCAGGTGTCTCTTCCACCTAGCAAGCCTCCCCACCTCACCGTTGTTCCTCTGTCCTTCCTTCCCCAGATCTACGTCAGCGTCCCCGGCTCCAAGAAGATCATCCTTCAGTTGCCCCTGGTCATCGGCAACAAGTCCAGCTTTGGCAGCCGCAATTCCAGCATGGCCAGCCAGACCAGCTCCGAGATGAGTTGGGTGGACCTCAACATGCCCGATGTTCCAGAAGGTGAGAAGCTTCAATGTCTTTGAGTTTGACCCTTCAAAAAAGGTCCAGGGGAGAGCCTTCTCACTGGCTTCGTTATTTTGAGAGTTTTCCTAGACACCTTGCAATGTCCGCAACTGTCCCTTGACCCTCCAGAGCTGACCACCACCCCTTTTCCTCTCCATTCTAATAGCACCTCCATGCTACCTGGACATCATTCCTGAAGACCATCGGATCGAAAGCCCCACCACTCCTCTCTTGGACGAGCTGGACAATTCCTTCGACAGCCCCATCTTCATGTACGCTCCCGAGTTCAAATTCATGCCGCCACCAACCTACACAGAGGTGAGATTTCTTTTTAAGGGAATGGGGGGGGGGGGGGGGCACTACACAAGTCAAGTTTTGCAGAGCGCAAGTTTTTAGGTCTTGTGTTGTAAGGTTGCCTTGCCTGCTTGGGGGGGGGGGGGGGGCGGGGTAGGGGTGTCTAGGCCCCACCCCACCCAACCAGGCTGATCTGGAATTGGAACACCAGCAAATCACCTTATGGAAAATCCCCTCTTCTCTCATCCCTTCTGAGAATGAGACTTAAATTAACACCCCCCCCTTCCATTCAAGCTATGATTTCCAGCTGAGTTAGTTCAATCAGAATAGAGTTAGAAGGGACCTTGGAGGTCTTCTAGTCCAAACCACTGCTCGAAGAGACTCCTAGACCAAAGGTCTCCAACCTTGGCAATTTTAATCCTGGCGGACTTCAACTCCCAGAATTCCCCAGCCAGCTGGCTGGGGAATTCTGGGAGTTGAAGTCCGCCAGGCTTAAAATTGCCAAGGTTGGAGACCCCAGGCCTAGACCATTCCAGACAGGTGACTTGTATAGTCTCTTTAAAAAAAAAAAAAAAAAACCCTCCAGATTTTATTTTAGTTTGCACAAAGAAGAATGTTTTCATCTCCAGTTTACACGTCTCCCTTTCTCATCTCTCTCTCTCTCAGATCGATCCTTGCACTGTGAACAATAACATTGTCCAGTGAACTCTCCGAAGAAAACTCCGGTGTGGCTGTGATTTTATCCAGCTTTTTTTTTTTCCTGGACTTTCAAAAAAATTGCCCTGGTAGCAATTCTGCAACGCAGCCGAAAAAAGGCGCACAGAGAAAAACCTTCCAGGTTTGTCAAAATTGACCTCTCAGGAAACTGAGTCAGCAAAGGAGCAAGAAAACAGGCTTCCTAGTGCCTTAGCACACGCGTGTTCCAGATGACAAAAAAAAATGGGGGGCATGTATGAAGGAGGGTTTTTTTCCCCTTCCTCAAAAGCCTTTGCAGAGTAAAATGTGTGCCCCTTGCAAAACTGACCGGTGCTAATGCGATTGTAGGGGTGGTAGAGGCAGGTGTGCCTCATTTTTTTCCCCTCCTTGACACAAGGAAAAAAAGGGGAAGTAGAAGAAAACTCAAAAAAGTTTTTTGAGACTTGGGTAGTAGGGACTTCACTGCTACCGAGGCACAAAAATTCATACCTCTACACTTTTTTGTAGGTGTGACATTCTGTAGTTGACGAACAAAAAAAGGGGGGCTTCAGCCATTTTGTGGTTAGGGTGCAAGAAGGGAGAATAATTGGCTGGAAGAGTTTCCGTTAGGGAAGGAGAGAATTTCTTGAGTTGCTCATATTGGGTGGAGGTTGAATGGAGCTGCGGGGTTTCCCCCCCCCCCCCCCGTCTTTTAAACCCCCCCACCATCTTAATTGTGGCAGCTTTGGGAGGAAGGAGCATGTAGGGGGAGGAAGAGTGGCTAGGAAAAGGGATCAGAGGTTAGTAGAGGAGGTGGTGAGGAGGAGGCTTCCTCTCGCCAGCCTCCAGGAGAAGGAGGAGAAACGAGAAGCAAAGAGAAGAAGTTGGAAAACTTTGCATAGCAATAAAGCTATTGCGGCATCCGAAGAGTCTATATAAGCAAATAAATAAAGCTTGTTGAACAATGCAAGATAGCAGCTTGGGGTCCTCTTGAGTTGTTATCTGTTTATTTTTTTTTTATAGCACTTAAAATCCTGTATATATTTTTTTCCTTTTGTCTATAAATCTGTTAAGTAAACAACTTTGTTTGGTTTTGGTAAGGGAGAAATCACTGTTTTGCCTAGGATCTCCAATAGATGTTCCATGTTCAGAAGCGTGGGGTAGATTGATTGACAGGTTTGGGGGAGGTCGCAGATGGGGGGGTTCAGCAGCCTTATTGAAGCCCCCCCCCAGGGGCCACCAGAAGATCAAAAATGCTTTTTTGCCAAACGATGCTGCATTACAAAAAAAAAAATGAATGTAGACACATATCTATAAGCAAAGAGCTTCAATATTTCAAGAAGCATTTATTTTTGGTCAGTATCCGTCCTGCGACACTCCCGACTTGTTTACCTCCAACAACTTGTGTGGTTTTTTTTGTTCTCCCCACGTCAGAAAAACAAATATGCACTTGAAATGACTCTGCACTGCATAGCCGAAGTGTTAATTCATCCCATGTTTTGTTGCCACAAATACCTTGTGTGTCACACAAACGGGTGTACTGATTATTATTATTATTTTTTCTTAAAACTGTTGTTTTTTTGTTTCACTGTTTTGTATTATTTGTGACTCAAGTTATATTTTGTACCGTTGAACTATGGTGTATAAAAAGCCTTTTTTCCTAATAAATTATCAAAACATTAAAATGCCGTGTTTGCTTCTGACTTGGGGGTTGTGGTGCAAGATTTGATGTCAACCTCAAAAAAAAAGTTGGTGCAAGTTCCTTGTAAGCACTTTTTTTTTTACAGATTTAACAGTTGGAAGGGACCTTGTAGGTCATCTAGTCCAACCCCCCACCCAAGCAGGAGACCCTACACCATTTCTGAGAGATGGCAGTCCAGTCTCCTCTTGAAAGCCTCCAGGGATGAAGCTATCCCAACTTCCAAAGGCAACTTCTGTTCCATGGGTTGATGGTTCTCACTGTCAGAAAATTCCTCCTTATTTCCAGGTTGAATCTCTCCTTGATCAGTTTCCATCCATTCTTCCTTGTCTGGCCTTCAAAGGTGCTTTGGAGAATAGCTTGACCCCCTTCCTCCTCTCTGGGGCAGCCCCTCAAATGTTGGAAGATGCTCTCATGTCTCCCCTGGTCCTTCTCTTCGCTAGACTACCCATGCCCAGTTCAGATTACAGATTAACAAGAGTTGGAAGGGACCTTGTAGGTCATCTAGTCCAACCCCACGCTCAAGCAGGAGACCCTACACCAGGCGTTGGAAGTCCACCCATCTTAAAGCATGCTGGCTGGGGGATTCTGGGAGTTGAAGTCCACAAACCTTAAAAGTTGCCAAGCTTGGAACCCTGGTCTACCACACTACCAGTTTCTTTTCTCCGCAGCTTCAAGACACCAACCAATGCAGGTAGTCCTCGCTTAATGACCATTCAGCGACCAAAATTATGATGGCCCTGAACGAAGGGACTTAGAGCCCAAAGGTACATCAGTTTCAGCCCTCCCTACAATCACATGATGACCTGCATTACAACCGCCTCGACTCATGACCCTAATTCTGATCTCAATTGTGATCATAAGTCGAGGACTATCTGTAACGGTGTTGGAAAGTCGATTTTGAGCAAAGGGTGCGCCAACTCCGGTAACCAGGCTGGGTGCAGTGAAGCCTCCATCCTGGCCTGCCTTGAGAAACGTCGGTCTCTCATGCCCTGGCCTTCAAAGGAAGCATTAATCAATAGATGTATTGATCCCTGGAGATTGGAAGGCTCTGGCAAAGATGTAGGAGAGAATTCATGGAAATGTCCCTTTCGCTGCGCCTATTTTGGGACTTCCTTTGGTCAGATCTGCTCTTGAGTGAGCCAGAAGGAGCTGTGAGATAATTGTGCTGGGTTGTTTTTCAGCTCCCAGCAGCTTTCCAGAGACAGAATAACAAAATTGGAAGGGACCTTGGAGGTCTTCTAGTCCAACTCCCTCCTCAAGCAGGAGACCCTAGACCCGTGATGGTGAACCTATGGCATGCGTGCCACAGGTGGCACGCGGAGCCATATTAGTGGGCACACCAGCTCAGCTCTGGAGCACATGTGCACGCCGGCCAGCTGATTTTCAGGCCTTCTGGGCCCACCAGAAGTAGGGAAACAGGCTGTTTCCTGCCTCTGGAGGGTCTGGGGATAGGGGTGGAGAAGGCCCGTTTTTCTTTCTTACCTGGCTCCAGATCCTCTCTATTTATCTGGGAAGGGCGAAAACAGCCTTTCCCACTCCCTTGGAAGCCCTACGGAGGCTGAAAGGGCCCATTTCCCGACTCCCGGTGGGACAGGAAGTGATGTTTTTTCCTGTCCCCAGCCTCCAGAGACTCCTAGAGAGGCTCCTAGAGACTCCTAGAGAGGCTCCTAGAGACTCCTAGAGAGGTTCTGGAGGCTGGGGACAGCAAGAAATGTCACTTCCTGTCCCACCGAGAGTTGGGAAATGGGCCCTTTCAGCCTCCGTAGGGCCTCCAAGGGAGTGGGAAAGGCTGTTTTCGCCCTTCCCAGATACACAGAGAGGATCTGGAGCCAGGTAAGAAAGAAAAACGGGCCTACCAGGCCATCATGTGCTAGGAGCGGGGGGGAGGGGGAGGGAGTTGCGCATGCATGCGCGTGGGCACGTGTGCACGTGACCCTCCCCCGCCCCCCCCCTCTCCTGGCACGCGATGGCAAAAAGGTTAGCCATCACTGCCCTAGACCATTCCAGACGAGTGGCCGTCCAATCTCTTCTTGAAAATCTTCCCTGATGGAGCACCCACAATTTCTGGAGGCAACTTCTGTTCCAACTGGTTGATTGTCCTCCCTGTCAGGAATGGCTGTCCAATCTCTTCTTGAAAACTTCCAGCTTGTCTGGTTGCTCTTCCTTCAAGTTGTCTTCCTTGAGTTCTCTTGCTTCTCCATGGCAGGTCCTCCCAAGTGAAAGCAAACTCTACATCTAAAATGATACATCGTTTTCAGTGGTGGGTTGCTACTGGTTCACACTGGAGCGTCGTGCGGGAGCATGCATACTAGTGGTAGGTTTCAAATTTTTTTACTACCGGTTCTGTGGGCGTGGCTTGGTGGGGCGTGGCAGGGGAAGGATACTGTAAAATCTCCATTCCCTCCCCAATCCAGGGGAAGGTTACTGAAAAATCCCCATTCCCTCCCGATCAGCTGGGACTCGGGAGGCAGAGAATAGATGGGGGCGGGGCCAGTCAGAATTTTTACTACCAGTTCTCCGAACTACTCATAATTTCCTCTACCGGTTCTCCAGAATTGGTCAAAACCTGCTGAAACCCACCTCTGGCGCACACCCACGAGGAAACCAGTACTGATGGGTTTCGAAACCCACTACTGATTGTCTTCCAGTCGTCCAGGCAAAGTTTTCTGGAAATTGATTCACGGCAACAACTGAACTTCTTTTCTTGTTTGGTGCAAAATGTTTTCCTGCTGATCCAAGTGGCTTCTTCAGTCTTGAACGAAAAAGACGGCCAGTTGCCATGACTCACCTTCCAGGAAACTCTACTGTTCATTTCGTCACCTAAGGCCTTCGTCCATCCTGCACCTTGTAGAAGGAAAAATTTCTTGGAACCACCGAAAGTTCAGTCAAAGATTAAGAGGTTTACAATCTTCGTACAACACAGAGCACAAACGAGAGAGAGAGAGAGAGAGAAGGAGAGAAAGAGAAAAGAGAGAGAGAGAGAGAGAAAAGAGAGAGGAGAGAGAGAAAAAAGAGAGAGCGAGAGAGAGAAGGAGAGAGAGAGAAAAGAGAGAGAGAGAGAGAAAGAGAGAAGGAGAGAGAAAAAAGAGAGAGAGAGAGAGAAAGAGAGAGAGAGAGAGAAGGAGAGAGAGAGAAAAGAGAGGAGGGGGAAGGAGAGAGAGGAAAAGAGGGAGGGAAGTATGTTATAGTAATAGTATAACAGAGTTGGAAGGGGCCTCGCAGGTCCAGTGGTCACCAACTGGTGGTCCACGAGAAAATTTCGGTGGTCCACAGAAAAATTATTTGCATTTTTTATATTGCACTCAATCAGGGGTCTTCAAATTACGGCCCCTGGGACGGATACGTGCAATGAACGGTTGTGTTGCTGCAGAGAGTCTCCCTCTTTGGGGTCTTCTTCTGTGGGTCAGAGGGGAGCAGAAATTCCGACTTGGGGTCTGCTTCGGCCTCCTCGTGTGGGCGAAGGCTGGAGGGAAGTGCCTCTGGTGGCAAAGAGCCGGAGGGCCTCGTTCCAGTGGGACTGCCTCATGGCCTGGAACTGGCTGACCATCTCAGCCCGCTGAGCCTCCAGGCGCCGGTACCTGGCCTTGCACTCCCGCAGGTCTTCCCTCTGCTTGGAAAGCCTAAGCTCCTAGTCCTCAGTGAGGTGCTACTGCTGAGCCTCCTTCTCGGCCAGATCCAATTTGAACTGAGCTGTTTTGCCAACTCTTTCTCCTGGTGGCTGCTTAGCTCCTGTTGGGGCCCTAAGGAGCTCAGGCAGGTAGGCAAGGAGTGGCAAGTAGAGGCTGGCAAGGTGCCCCTCGACGTGAATGACATTGAGTTGGCCACGCCCACCCAGCCACATGACCAACTTGCCACGCCCACCCAGCCAGTCATTAGACAGATCGTATTACTGGTCTGCGGGATTTAAAATTATGAATTTAGTGGTCCCTGGGGTCCGAAAGGTTGGGGACCCCTGTTCTAGTCCAATCCCCTGCTCAAGCAAAAAGCCCTTAATCAGTTAAAGATTATGATGCTTACAATCCTCACACAACACACAGCACAGAGAGAGAGAGAGGGAGAAGGAGGGAGGGAGGGAGAAAAGTATGTTATAGTAACAGTATAACAGAGTTGGAAGGGACCTGGGAGGTCTTCTAGTCCAACCCCCTGCTCAGACTGGATTTGGCATTTTTGTCCACCTCTGGAGTTCTTCCCAAGGACTTGGGATAGGCTGATGTGGATGTTTGATGGGGTTGCAAATATTATTGCGGGATTTTAAGCCGTTCCAAAGTTCGTTGTGCAATTGACTGGCGTTGAATTTGTCAATTACGAAGGTATTCAAGTAATGCGCCAGACATTTTTGCTATCTCACTCAAGGTGCCTATCACTATTACTACTACCTTTGTTTTCTCTTGGATTCCATTTCTATTTCCAGGTCTTTGCATTTTGTGATTTTTCTCCAGTTCCTTCTCTTCTGTTCTGTCCAGATACTGCCACTTCCACTATCCGACGCTTTTTGTCTTCCTTATCGACAGTTGTTAAGTCTGGCTTGTGATGCAGCAGGAGCCTTTCTGTCTGAAGTCTAAAGTCCCAGAACAATTTAATATCTTTATTTCCTATCCTGTAACTTGCTCTATTTTAATATCCCACCAGCTCTTGCTTGCAGACAAACGGTATTTCCTGCACAATGGTTCGTCACACAGTCAGCCAGATGTTGAGACTAGATTTGGCTTTTTTTGTACACCTCTGGAGCCCTTCCCTGGGATAGGCAGATGTGGATGTCTGATGGGGCTGAAGGTCTCATCATAGGATGGAAACCTGTTCCCAATCAAGCCCCCTTTTGCAATTAACCGATGGTGAATTCGTCAGTGGCAATGGTGTTTAGGTAATGCTCCAGATGTTTTGGAATTATTAGCCAAAAGTTAGTATCTTCCCAAATTGTCTGCTGGGGAGATGCAAACTTTTAAACTTCCAGATTCATTCGGCTACAGTTCCCACCACAAGAAG